AGGGCGTGGGGGCTGGCTGCCGCGCTTGCCTGAAGGCCTGTAGCATCAGCTGCCTTCTGCGGGGCCTGCTGTGTGCGGGCCTTCTCGTGAATGGGGCAGGGCGTGCGACAGATGATCCGTAGGCCCACGGCCTGATGAAGCAGCTTCGTTGTTGAAAAGGCTAAATGTTTGCCTTTGGATGTGTGTGGATCGACTGATCAGTAATGAACACGCCTCCAAGGAACTTAGAGGAACAGTTAAGATGATCTCCTCCAGCGAAGATGCTTTCTGAGGGGGTCACGTACTGGGTTTGGGTATTTGGCCTTTATTGTCACAACATGTGAAAATGGTTTTATCCTTTCAACGCTTTTACTACAACACCCTGCGGTGAAATAAAAATAGGTTTGTTAGTTGTTTCTAGGCATTTTAGAGAGCAGGGGGCGGGCCCATCGTGACTGGCCGGTGTGCTCCTTCCCACCTGTTAGTGAAAATCGCAGGAGGGAGCAGGCGGATTGCTAGGCTGTCAGGCTGGTTCATCGGGCTGGCCTTGCCTGGGAACCAAGGAAGGCCGCTGAGAGCAGGTCTGTGGCTCACCGGGCCCTTCCCCAGCCGCCAGCCTAGCTTCTCTCTGCTCCAGACAGTCTCTGTGCCAACAGGAGACTCGGATTTAGTGTTGGGTGTTGTGTTTGAGGAAATGATAGTCTTCTCCCAGAGTGTCTGCAGTTTCTGTGATCCCCAAGCATGTGGTCACTATGGGAGGGGTGCTAGTTTCCACGGAATGTGACTTGGAAATGTCTCCGCCAACAGAAAGTTGGGACCGAAGCGGCACATCTTCATGAGCTGGCGTGGGGTGGGCATCCCTCCTGCGCTGTCACTCACCTCCCAGAGTCTGCATGGGCCCTGCCCTGGCCCTGCCCCTAGGCAGTGTTTTGTGCTCTTTTCAAACCATGATCTCCTGTGTCTGAGATGCTCAGAAGTGGTAGGAACAATGGGGGCTTGTTTTCCTCTGTGGCGGGGTGTCCCTGCTGAGAAGTGCTTGGCAGATACTGTTAGCTGCCCAAGTGCGTGATAAGCCAGACGCCCCCAGCCCTACACCTGGCTGCCTGAGCGTCGTAGGTTGAGAGTCAGCTCTGGGTTTCTGGGCCTTGTGAAAACCGGTTTTACCAACGAGGTTCTCCTGTGAATGTGAGTCTCTAGAGCCGGGCTGCCTCCGCTGGGACAGTCCTCATAGTCGTGAGGCCTTGGTGTTCACAGGACAGCCTCTGTCAGCTCACCCACCAGTCATCCCAGTGACGCCCAGAGGACAGGGACAGCAGAGGACGCAGCCGTGGGTACCGTGGCCAGTGCTCCAGTTACAGCCCGGACAAGCCCAGGAAAAGTTTTGTTGGGGGTCGGGGGGCTTTCCATACCCACAGGGCTGGGTATGAGGTGCTCCTCCGCCTTGGGAAAGATGCATGGGGAGGAGGGGGAGAGCGGAGGGAGCCCCACTCAGTCGGGCCCTGCTCCCCCTGCGCCAGCCCTTGGGCAGACACTGCGCCTCCCCCCTCCCGGGGCCCCTGCTGGATTTCCATGATAAATACAGCAATAGTGACAGATAGTGTGGCCAGCCCTGCTCTTGTCACCAGGCCTTTTAGCAGGTTTGATTAATTGCTTTACGATCTCACAACCAGCCAGGGGGGCCACTGGTGGGTGGCTTCTGCCCCCCATCAGGTGGAAGAATGGAGCAGGCTGCTGAATGAGTCTACAGACAGCCACCGTGTGCCAAGCTGGTGACCTCATTTTGAAGGAAGATAAACTTAAATTAACTCCTTCCGGCCCCATGCAGTTTTGTGGGGCCTCCTCACCTTATTAGCATGCTCCCGAGGCCTCGGGAGAGGGGCTGTGGGTCCGCTGGGCTGCGTGCCCGCCGGATGGAGGGGCTGCAGGGTCTCTGGCTCAGGCAGACATGCGCGCCCTTTGTGCTCTGCGCACAGCCAGGCGGGGCCGGCACTGCCGTGGAAAGGTCTCCGCTGAGTCTCGGCTCTTCATTGCTCCGCAGAAGCGCTATTGCCGAGGAGCAGAGCTGCTCGCTCTTCACGATGCAAAGATCAGATTCCCCCCTGGGAGTGCGGGGCAGTAGGGACAGGCCCGGGACTTTCTGCGTCGGTCACTGCTGTCCCGACCCTTTCCTTAAACTGTCGCAGCTTTACGAAACCGTGTACACAGACTTTGGTCCGCGGCGCTCTTTCTCTAATTTGCTTTCACATGTAAAGCCCCCCCTGCCCAGGCTGATGTTGACCAAGGCTTGATCCGAATCCTCGGTTTCCTTCCCCTGTGTGAACGCCGCCAGCAGCGGCTGGACCCAGGCTCCAGCTTTGCTTCTTGACCCTGTAGAGTCCCTCGGAGGGGACAGCTGTCCGCTGCTCACTTCTTCCTGACAGGCTGTTCAGCCCAGGCCTCCCCTCAGTGCGGGTGGAGGCAGGCAGAGTGTTGAAGGGCTGTGGGCATGTTACAAGGAAATGGCACATGTCATGTGAGGTTAGAGTGTCACAGACTGGCCTTCAGTATTTGCTTTTGATCATTTGGGGCTCCCTGGTCCTGCACCCGATTTTCCACAGATTGTCTTTTTCCAATTTTGCAAAAACTCTACTAGGCGTTTTCCTTGTATTCTGGCTCCCCCCCAATTGAGCCGTGCTGGTCTGTAAGTTCTGTGAAATCTCAAAAGAAGAATCAAACCATTGTTACCCTGGTGGAGCTTTTGTTACACAAATTTCATTAAGAGACTGGGACTGTCACAGGTTTTTCAAAGAGTCCAACTAAATTTTCATTAGCCCAGCTCCACCCAGGCCTCTGTGACCCCCATCCTCTGGCTGCCTCTCTGTCTAGACCTGTCCCCGCCAGCCCCCATGGAGGAGGCAGGGACTTGAGAGTGACAGGATGAGATGGGATACTAAAGGCCCGAGCAGGCTTCGGGCATTGTTGGGGCCTGTGGCCGTCTGTTTGACCTGTGGAGGGAGGGAGAGCAGCAGTGCGGTGGCCCACGCAGGGCTGAAGGACCCCATTGTGCCATAGAGGAGCCGTCAGGTCGCCATTCTTGTGCTGAGAAGGATGGAGTGCCTTTTCCGGCAAGGCCTCTGGCTGGAGTGGGCACTGGGCACTGGCCTCTAGGGGCTGACCTCCATTGTGTGCAAATCCCTGGGCCTCTGGGAGGAGGGAGCCAGCAGGTGCAGGTCCCCTCGGTGTGGTGTCCGCAGAAAAGGACCAGCTTCGCAGCCTGAGCCTGGTGTGAGGAGGCAGGTGCAGAAACCCCGTCCTTGTCTTCTGGAGCGGAGCCCGCACAGCGTTGGGGCGGCTACTCATCCTCCGTCTCGTGTCCTCCTGTCCACAGGGGGTGAGAACATCAAAAGCATAAACCAGCAGTCAGGAGCACACGTGGAGCTGCAGCGCAACCCCCCTCCCAACACCGACCCCAACCTGCGAATATTCACCATCAGGGGGATTCCTCAGCAGATCGAGGTGGCCAGACATCTCATAGATGAGAAAGTTGGCGTACGTACAAGGCCCTTTCCCCACCGGGCTTACTAATAGCTGGATTTTCTGGTGGATGTCCAAGGTACCTGTTTTTCCCCAGAACCTTGTACTTACTGAACCTTTTCATCCTCGCATCACGTGAGGGCCCCTCCTCTCACTTTGCCGAGGGGGAAGGTCGGGGTCCAGGGATCCCAGGGCCAGGCCCAGGCGATGAAGGAAGCCTCTGGCAGGACTCACCAAGGCCACCCACCAGCTCAGGCCCCAGAGCCGTGTCCCCTGCAGGCTTAGATGAGCAGCTGGCAGCACCCTCCCCCCTGCCCCCCCTCCCCGGTACTGCCCCGGGCACTGCCGTGGCCCAGCCCTGCAGACAGCGCTCATTGACTCTGGCTTTAGTTTCAGGCACCTCAAAGCAGATAAAGAAAGAAAGGGAGTGTTGATGGAGGACAGAGGGCCACTGCTCACCTCAGAGGGGACGTAGAAGGGCAGACAGAGCCGTGGGCAGCCTAATTGACGGAGAGTCAAGCAGGTTGGTCCCTCCCCCAGGGTGACATGGCAGGGCAAATGTGGTGGTACCAGCAGTGGCTGTGGTGGTTTTGGTCACTCAGGGGACAGAAGCCATTTCTGGAAATCAAGTTCACTGTGGGGAAGGAAGGCTAGTGTGAGTGCCATAGGCTGTCTTTCCTTCACTTGGCTCTGTCTCCCCAAAAGCTGTGGTCTGCCTTGGGGGGCCTGGGCAGAGGGCAGAGATGCCCCCAGCAGGAAGTGAGCGTTCCCTCTGTGCCATGACAGGGCACCAGTCTGGGAGCACCTGGAACCTACGGACAGAGCCCCTTCAGCCAGCCCCCTGCCGCACCTCATCAAAAGTAAGTCTCTAACGTCCCCCCCCCCCACTGCAAGCTCCCTCCCTGCCTCCCAACAGGCCCTCCTTTCCAGCTGCTGGTAGGGCACGTCCTGTGGGCAGGGCTCCTCCCACCTCTTACCAGTGGTCCCTCCGGCCCGTCTGTAGCTCACTGATCAGTGCTGGGATGAGGGCCTCCCAGGGGCAGCATCCCCGAGGAGCACTCACCATCCTGGGACTGAGGGGAGGTTTTTGCAAAAGTCTTTCTGTTCGCCCTTTAACTTCGTTTTTCACTTTCTCTCAGCACCTTTCCTCCACGGAGCTCAGGGTGCTTCCCAAACATTGCTGCTAAAGTGAACGGAAACCCGCACAGCACCCCTGTGAGGTGGGTGGCCTGCTCCTACTCGTCCGTGTAGTTCTCAGTCAGGACTGGGGTTGTGGTCACCTGGCCACTGCTGGGGGGACCACTGTGCTTGCCTGGGTGGAAGGGTGAGTGACAAAGAGACAGCGGGATTACGGGGGGTGGACCCCGGTGCGGAGAGGGGTGTGACTGCACTAGAAAAGGTGACTGTCTTTGTCCTCTGCAGTGGGCCTCCGGCCTTCCTGACCCAGGGCTGGGGCAGCACCTACCAGGCATGGCAGCAGCCCGCACAGCAAGTCCCAAGTAAGTTTCTCCAGAGGAGGTGGGCCTGGGCACCCCCCGCCCCCATGGGAGGCTCGAAGGGGATGGGGATGGGCCTGAAATTCTCTCCTTCCAGCTCTGCCCACAGGCCAGGATGCCCCTCCCGGGATGGCAGGGAGCCTCCTGAGGCCTCAGGAGCTGTCGGCAGAGGAGGCTTCTGTGCAGGTGGCACTGGCCTCCAGCCGGGCAGGGGCAGAGGGGGCTGGCCCACCTTCTCAGACCTTTCTTCCTATCCACTCTGTCCTCAGAGCTCTGGGTCGGAAAGCCTGTGGCCATGGGCGTGGTTTGCCGAGCCCCTCGGTTCCTCCTGCCTGCGCTCTGCCTCTCCCTCTGCATTCTAAGCAGCCCCTGCTTGCTGGGCTCTCCCCTCCCTGGGCCGCAAGGTGACCATCTCCCTCTTTCCAGCACCGCCTCAGGGGCTCTCCATCTCCTGGGCGTTTGGGAAAGCACACATGAGAGAGCTCTGCGTGGTGGCACCTGGGAGAGAGTTGACTGGAAGAGAGGGGTTCTGTGGGGATCAGTCCGGCCCCACTCCCGGTTAGGAGTCATTCTTACGTTTTATGGCTGGGGGAGCCCATCCCGCATAGGCTGCAAAACAGAACACAAACCGGACCTTGGGTCTCTCTGACCCTCCCAAGCCGGACTGTGTGGAAGGCAGTCTCCAGTGTATCTGCGCGTGTCCCCCCTGCACGCCTGGCTGCAGGACCGAGCCTGGGCCTGGTGTGCCCCTTCCCCTGGAGCAGAGGGCTGCCTGATAGCGCTGCCCCAGGCCCTGGCCATGGTCACAGTGAGATGACACCACGGGGTCTGGAGGCCCGTGCTGTGCAGCCTCGGGCACATCCCCCTTTTCTGAGCTCCAGTCTCGTGGTCTGAAATGATGGGTTTGGATTTGATTTCTAAAGTAACAGCAAGCTCTGAAATTGCACAGTGGCATTTTTTTCTCTTCTTCTGCAGTGTTTTCTTATGAAACATATTAAGTATACAGAAGGTTTTAAAGAACTTCAACATGAACACCTAACACTACCTAGCCCTGTGGTCGGCAAACCGTGGTTCGTGAGCCTCATGCGGCTCTTTGGCCCCTTGAGTGTGGCTCTTCCACAAAATACCGGCTCTTCCACAAAATACCCGCTCATCCACAAAATACTGACTTCTGCGCATGGGCCACGAAGTTTCAATCGCACTGTATGTGTGCGCCCGCACGTGGTATTTTGTGGAAGAGCCACACTCAAGGGGCCAAAGAGCTGCATGTGGCTCTCGAGCCGCGGTTTGCTGACCACTGACCTAGACCCTACCATTCCTGTTGCACTGGACTCACTTCACCCTGGAGCTGGTCTGTTGTGTTTCCTCCTGTTCTGACCATTGGAGGGCGACCCCAAGATGTGAGGTGATCTGGGGTGGCCTCACATTTGTCCCATTGTCCAGGGCAGGATGGGAAAATGTGTTTACACTGAAGCCCAAGGGAACATGTCCTTCTGCCCAGGGGACATCAGCCATGGGGCTGTGGTTCTGCAGAGGCCGGACTGCTGCTTGCCCGTGCCCAGGCAGGCCCGGAGGAGTAGGGAGGAGCATCGGGAGGAGGAAGAAGACAGGGCGATGCCTGGTTTCTTCCTCTCTGCAGCAGCCTGCATCTTTTTTCTTTTTTCTTTGTTTTAATTTATTTTATTGATGTCAGAGAGGAAGGGAGAGAGGGAGAGAGATAGAAACATCAATGATGAGAATCATTAACCGGCTGCCTCCTGCACACCCCTCCACTGGGGATGGAGCCCATAGCCTGGGCATGTGCCCTGACTGGGAATTGAACCATGACCTCCTGTCCACAGGTTGACGCTCAACCACTGAGTCACGCCGGCCTGTAACTTGTGTTGAGTTTTGTTGCTTTACTCGGAGGGTTTAGGAATTGAGAGTTGGTGTTGGTCAGTGAAATCTGTTTGAAAGAAAAACCCTGCTTGTCCACATTCCTCACGCCTAGCCTTCCCCCAACCAGGTCCTTTACTCCTAGTGTCCTGGTCTGAGTGTCTTCCTGCCCTGGTGGGAGGGGGGCTTCTCCCCTCTCTTACCCTCCCCCCTCTTTTCTGTCCCCCGCCCACACCCAGGCCGCAGGCCCCTTTGTCCTCAGTGAGTTCACTAGCAGGAGGGATGCTGTGAGGTGGCTGCTGGCAGCCCTCTGTGCTGCTGCAGACTCTGCTCCCTGCAGACAGCGCGAGGCCTTAGGGAGACACGCAGCCAGCCTGGCCTCGGCACAGAGATCCCAACTAACAGCCACTGGGCCAGGGCTTGCCAAGTTCATTGTATGCTCTTGGTGCGCCTGGGCAGGCATATCTACTCTGCCCCTAGCCCGTCTTCACTGCCCCTGCTGCATAGAGAAGGCACCGGCTTGTGTGCGGAGGAGGGAGGAGGGCGGGAGCGCGCCCACACATCCTCTCTCCTGCTCCTGCCCCTAAGGCAAAAGGCTGGCCCGTGTCGGATGCATGTTGTGGCCACAGCCCCTTGCTTTGTGGACCTCATCTTTGTCATCGCCGTGAGCCCAGTGTCCGGACAGTTTCCCGAGGGTTTGCTCTGCGGCTCTGCTTGCAGAGGCGCCGCCCGCGGTCTTGGAGCAGAAGGCTCAGCTCAGGTGGGGAGAGTGCTCGGCGCCATTTGGACTCTGTCCCACTGAAGCCCCTTCCGGAAGCTTAGACAACAGTCATTCTGGCCCCCAGGCTCGGCTCACCACAGCACCCGTCTGAAGGGGGTGGAGTGTTCCCGGTGGTCGCCCTGGAGGGGCATCGGGCTGCCCACGCCCAGCCTCACGGGGATCTTAGTTGCACACACACACGTGGGGCCTGAGCACAGGCCCTCTTGGGTGTTGACAGATCTCCTCCACCGCCATCTGCTGCCACCTTCTTCCCAGGCCACAGGGCCCGGAGCAGCTGTAGAGCGGTGTGTGGCGCAGGGGCGAGCGAGCCGGCGCAGAGCAGGGCCTGGAGCCGCCAGGCTGGGGACCTGACTGTTTTTGTGTTCTCCGCACAGGCCAGCAGAGCCAGCCGCAAAGCAGCCAGCCCGACTACAGCAAGGCCTGGGAAGACTATTACAAAAAACAGAGTGAGTGCAATGGCCGTCCCAACACCCAGGTCCCCTGCCAGAGCCCCTCGCCTGTAGCCTTCACTGCGCAGGGTTCCCGGCCCCGTCTGGCCCTCTGCGTCTCACGGAGGAGACATGGTGTAGCCATTTGCTTTCCCCTCCGCCATTTTTCTCCCCCTTCTCAACTCCAAAGGGCGTGGCACCTCCACTGGGGAACCCGGGACCGCTGTCCTGATCCCCTTAGAGCTGCGTGGCCAGGACGCAGACCAGCCGTCTCTTGTTCCCTGGCTGTCTTGCCGTCGCCTGGCTCTTTCTGGCTCTGTCAGGGCAGGTGAAGAGAAGAGAATGGTGGGACTCGGGAGAGGGAGCCTACAGTTGGAGTGGGTGGTGAGATGTTTGATTTTCTTAAGACACTAAACCAGTCTTTTAAAAAAGAGGAGGGGAAAAACCAGCAACCAAAAACCCCAGCGAAAAATTTCAAACGAGTCCTCAGTCATCCGTGGGTCTCCCACAGCTGCCGAGCAGGTGGCCGGGCACTGGGGGAGGGCTGTGTCGTGTGGCTGCATCTGAAGGGTTACTGGCTGGTTGGAAGAGCTCAGGTCAAAGGCCATCAAAGAAACAGTCACCTGGTGGTGGAGTCATCTCTGGGCCAGGGAGGCCATCGTCACTGGAGGTACCGGGTGAAAGTCCACGTGCCCGTCTCCCCCACACCTCCCAAATCCAGGCTCCCAGACGCAGGGGCCAGGCACCCCTTCTCCCTGTCCCTCTCCCTGGGCGCCTACGAGTCAGGTGACCTATGCAGAGAATGTGATTCTGAAGAGACAGCGGGGAAAGCCTCGCAGGGGTGGAGCAGGAGGGCAGGGAAAAGCTAACCGTGTTTTTGCAGCCAGCACTCGGGCCCCGCCTCACGGACATCAGTGGCACTAGTTCCGATGCCCAGGTCTTCAGGAAGCGTCTCCAAGCGTCCGCACGTCCCCTAGCACGTCCCGCCTGACGAGCTGTGTCCCTCTGTCCCTCAGGTCACGCTGCCAGCGCCGCTCCTCAGGCCAGCTCCCCGCCGGACTACACCATGGCCTGGGCCGAGTATTACAGACAGCAGGTTGCTTTCTACGGCCAGACGTTAGGGCAAGCTCAGGCCCACAGCCAGGTGTGTAGCCAGTGCTGGCACTGCCGGGACCTCCCAGACCAGCTGGGGGGGGGGGGGGGGGGCGCGGCGTACAGGCCCAGTGCTGCTCAGCATGGCCGCCATCTGCTCAGAGCCCAGCGGCCCGCCCGGCCCCTTCTTGCCCCAGAGAGAGTAAGTGTGGGCCAAGTGGGAGAGGAATGGGTTGGGCAGACCCTCAAGACAGTACCTGATCCTCTCTCAGATCCAGGCCCCAGACCACAGCGCTGAGTGGCCTCAGTTTCCCCAACTGTGAATGAGAGCGCCGGGCTTGGATGATTCTGGGCAAGCTTGGCACTGCAAGCAGGGACTGGAGCTCACGCCCACTGCTGTTCTTGGGGGGCGGGGCAGGGCCAGGCCACACCCTCGGAAGGCTGGGCGGGGCAGAGCGCCAGCTCTTCGCCTGCACAGAAAGCTGGAGGGCTCCGTCCAGTCAGAGGCCAAAAACGGATTTCTTACTGACGGAGGGAAGAGGGCCAGGAGCTCCCGCAGGGCGTGTTTCAGGTCACCTGATGCCGCTCAGGTCCCCATGGGCGGCGTGGCAGCTACCAGAAGGCCGGGCCTAAAGCTGACTGGCCATCTCACTACCAAATTGGCCCTTTTGTGCCTGGCACAGTGGGAACAGGTGTCCAGGCTGGTGGGTAACCAAGAAGTATCGCGAGCTCACTCCGCCCTCCCCTTCCCAGTGTCCCCCACAGAGAGATGCCCGGGACCTCCTTCAAGGGAGGTTCTGTCTGAGCCAGAGACCCTGCGGGGAGGCAGGGAGGTGCTGAGACACGGGCTGCTTCCTGTGTGTCAGCACCTGCGATGGAGCCGAGGAGAGGGGGTGACCTGCCACCTCCCGCCAGCAAGCCCATGAGCGCTGGCCACAGGCTGACCTCTCTCCCTTCCTTCCACAGGAGCAGTAGGACAGCGACCTGTGACCCCTCCCCGGAATCATTGTGAGCGAAAGCCTATTTGTAACAGAGGTTTTTAGATTTTCAAACCTTTTGATGAAGAACCTTTGTTCTGTGAAACACTATATTTAGATTAACAGAATTTTTCTAAAAATCGGGAAATTAGTTACTAAAGACTGTTGATTATTCTTGTTTCAGTACTTTCGTTACTTCAAATGTGGAAGCTCTGGGATTTTTTTTGGAGCAATATCTGCAAATCCAGGCACCAGAATGTGCCTCATAGCAGTGACATTTCAACTGGTGTGTTTTTGTTCGTTTTGTTTTGTTTCGTGTCTTTTTATTTACAGTTGTTTCTGTTGCAACAGAAAGTGGCTTGGAAGTCTTAGGAGGTGTGTAACAAATTATTTTTAAAAAATTTTAAACAGTATTTAAATGTGTAAATTCATTAAATGTTTTACTTCTAATTTCTTGTATCTTGGCTGTCTGGTTTTGCATTTTTTTAAAAACTGAACTATTCTGTATTGTAATTATGTGAATTCTGAATTGAGACAGAGAATTGTATTGCTGTCCAAAGGGATCGGGAAGGGCATTTTTAGGGTTTGTATAATTTCTAGAGTTCTAAAGGGTAATATAAAAGTGTTTTCATGTGTCTAGCAGTCTTTTTTTTTCATGTCTCATTACCAGTTGCAACTGTGTATCTAAGACCTCCAAGCTTGTTTTAAAAACAAAACAAAAAACCTTTCTCTATTCTCTCAGAAATATAAATCCTGTTATTTTTAATATTAAGAGGAAGTTGATATAACTTTTAACGAACACTGTGGTACATTAAACCGCATAAAAATGTAGTAACTATTTTTTAATTCTGAGCATTTTTTGCTTTTTGCTTTTAAATATTTTTTAATATTTGTCAAATTAACTAGATGAATAAATAAATCTAGTATTAACCACAATATGAATTAAATGATTTTGATTTAATAAAAGGGATGTTATGATTTCCAGTAGTGTGTCTTGTACAGATAACATGTATTTTTAAAGGAAAGAAAAACGGAATTAAAGCTATTTTTTCTTGCATTTTTAATTCACCTGAGGGACATTCCGTTTGAAATGTACTGAAGTTAACCTTTCGGTTTTTTCTCTTTATTTTCTTTTTAATGCTTGAAATGTCTAACTATTAAAAATAAATATTTGGAGAATGTTATGCATGTTTTTAAAAAGAAAAGTGTTCTTTTTATTTGACTGACAATTCATTTTACACTCTATGTAATAAAATTTCCACAAGACATCTTGTGGGTGAAATATTTTGAGTCTGTTTGCCTTCCATTCTCTTGTCCCACCCTCCACTCTCTGCCGCTGCCTGCTGAAATCAAAGCAAGAATTCATAGCCGATCCCCTTGCTCTACGTCAGCCCCACTTGGTGCACAACCTAGATTCCCAGCTACTTCCTTCGTTAAGCTCCTTCTAATGGTTTTGTAGAATTTGACAGTTTGCCTTGAGTGCGTGGGTCACCGTCAGTCCCTCCTCTTGCTTACCTGTCACATCTGAACATCTCTGGCCGTGGGTGCAACACAGAAATCAATCGCGGCTCCTCCCAGAGGCGCTGTCACTGGGCGTGCAGCTGGAAGATTCATTTAAGGGAGTCTCGGTAAGAGGCGTGGTCAGCTCTGCCGCTGCGTAAGCACACTTTCCAGTAACTGAGTCAGCACGCGCCCCTCACCCCTCAGCACGCTCCCCCGGCACCCCTCAGCACGCTCCCCCGGCACCCCTCAGAGCGCTCCCCCAGCACCCCTCAGAGCGCTCCCCCGGCACCCCTGAGAAACGGGCTGCTCGCTTGGGCAGTTCATGCACTAAAATTGGAACGAGAAATACGGAGATTAGCATGGCCCCTGCACCAGGGTGTCATGCAGACGCATGAAGTGTTTCCTATTTGAAAAGTAAATAAATTAGACCCTGTCCGGTTTGGCTCAGTGGATAGAGCGTCGGCCTATGGACTAAAGGGTCCCGGGTTCAATTCCAGTCAAGGGCATGTACTTTGGTTGCGGGCACATCCCCAGTGGGGGGTGTGCAGGAGGCCGCTGATCAATGTTTCTCTCTCATCAATGTTTCAAACTCTCTATCCCTCTCCCTTCCTCTCTGTAAAAAATCAATAAAATATATTAAAAAAAATAAAAAGTAAATAAATTAGGACCAAACTGGTCTTGGCCTGGTGGGTTGGCTGCTGCCTTCCATGGTGGC